AGCTAGTGCGAGCACCAATAGCAGTGAAGGCATAGAAGCATGGGCTTCCACGCGGGCTAGCTGCCTGAGGTCCTAGGTAGCTTGTACAGTCTGCTGTTTCACTGTTATTAGTACCTGAGCTAGCTTGTTGGGTATGTCTGTGTGTGCAGCAATCACACCCCCTAAGTGCTGTATGTAAACAAGGGGTAAAATCGTGGCTTCATTGAAGTTAATGGCACAACTCTCATCTACTTCAGTGGAAGTAGGATTTCACTCAAGGCTTTCTTATATCTAACAAAAACATTCTAATTCTTCTTTATCATTTCACAGCCATTCTGGGTTGGCCATTGCATGCATTCCATTTGTATTTGCTTTACCGGGCAGATTGGTAAACTAGCAGCTTAATCCAGTTCCACTGTAATAGCATTCAAAACAATTACAGAAAAAATGGGCCTCTCATTATTGTTCAGATTTTGTCAGAGTTGTCCCCCTTATCTAAAAGCTTGTTTTATTGCCCTTCACTGTGTATTGTTTCTTATGGCAGATGTACTGGATGCTATATCAAATTCTTCGGCTTGCTTTAACTTTATGAGACCAGCTGTGAAATCAGATATTTCAAAGAGAAATACATGCCCAGGGGTTGATGGCACAAGGTGCTGACTATCCTCAAACTTCAACTGACTTCAGTGGGAGCTGAGGAGCTTAGCAACTCTCCAGAGGCACTTGGCAACATGCAGAACAGGCCCTGAAGGCATTTGTCACCTTTCAAGTTATTACGGTGTGTCTTTTACACGTGAAGTGTTTTAGATCATAAAGTTGGACAGAAAATAGTTCAGACCTGTTCTGTAAAGATACAATAGCTATGCAACCAAGTAGCAAATGGCTAGTAAACGCTTACATGGCCAAGTTAAACAAGACACAGCTTAGCTCATTAGCTTGCCTGCTCCCCACTTCAGAGCTGCCACATATATGAATCCAAAGAGAACAAAATGAAAGGAGCAAAGCTTTAGAGTTTAGTAAATAACAAAATCCCCTTTCTGTATCTTTTTCATTACGTTTTTGAATTTTAGAATGACGACAAATACATTAAACAAATTGCTTTGCTTCACAGTAACCCCATCCAAGAGCCCAAATAATCTTTTATTCTGACACACACCAAAACTCAAATCAGACAAGCAACCATCTATAAGCTTGGTTGTGTGTTTCTTTCTTTGTAGACTCTGTCTTCTCCATCTTGCCACAGTGATAATTAAATGTTTCCCTGAAAGAAAGTGTTGAATTGAATATGAACATAAAAATGGAAATAAATAAAATAAATTCCTCTTCTCCCTCTTGGAATGGGATGGTCGGTCTGAAAATACAGTAGTAGAGCATTTCATAAATAATGGCTCACCTTTCCTCTCATTAGGCCATTAGGCCCAGCCATGTATAAAGGCTGAAGAGGAGCAGAAGAGTCGATTTCTTCTGACTCAAAGCCTCTGTGTTTGTGGCAGTTCATGGATCAGTCTGGTGTACAATTTGGATTCTCACATGTACGTTTCCTTTCTTTTTCCTTGGGGAAGCACAGACATATGCCTGTCATCTGGCAATAGCAATTACATTTAGCTTGAAAGTACTGATGGGTCTGAGTTCATGACCCAAAGAAGATGGATGAGGTAGAGGTAACATACAGCAATTTCAAATACTGGACATATTCAGAAATTGGATGTTTTTTTAAAATGACATATACTCTCTCTGACAATAGTAGGGAATAAGTGTTAAAGAAAATGTCTTGTGGATATATCTTGATATGAATTTGACCCAAGGGATTTAACCATTTGCATTAGTCCATGCTGTAATATATTAATCTCTTCAAATATCCCACTGGGTAGAAGAGAATAGCTAGAATAAGGTTAAATACAATTTAGTAGGGAGCACTTAATTCTTTTGTGTGCAATATGCACTTGCAGAGCAATGAGATGATTATTTATAAAATGCCCAAACATGTGGTAGGTGTCTCACTGAATACATAAAAGAAACAGTCCTTGCCTGAAGAACATATTATCCACTTTCAGACATGATGTACAAGTGCTTACAAAGCATGAGGCATGGTGGGTTCTCCATCACTGTCAATTTTAAAATCAAGATTGGATGTTTTTCTGAAGATAGGCTCTAGCAATTATTCTGGGGAAGTTCCCTGGCCTGTGTTAGACAGGAGGTCAGACTAGATGATCACAATGGTCCCTTCTGGCCTTAGAATCTATGAGGTTAGGGAGGAAGGGAGGACAAGGGTTACAGTAAGTAGGTTATTAGCGCGTCTTCATGGTTTAAAGGGTTCCACTAAATTTACAAGCGACTGTGGATTGAGTGGGAGAGATGAGATGGAAGAAGGCAGAGAATGTGGGTGTAGGAGAGCATCAAGGGAAGGACAGGAAGATGGTAAGGAACGGTGGCCTTGGGACCAGCAAGAGGACGGAAAGGAAGAGATAAGGGTCGGGAATGTGAGCAGAGGTGGCATGGTGAGGCAAGGAAAAGGAAATGGAGGTAACAGACATATCTTACATGAAGCAGATGGCAGTTATTTTAGTTAATGATGTTGGAACCTGGAATCCTGAAGTGAACGAGGAAGATTCATAGATTCTAGGACTGGAAGGGACCTCGAAAGGTCATCAAGTCCAGTCCCCTGCCCTCATGGCAGGACCAAATACTGTCTAGACATTTATCTAACCTACTCTTAAATATTTTCAGAGATGGAGATTCCACAACCTCCCTAGGCAATTTATTCCAGTGTTTAACCACCCTGACAGTTAGGAACTTTTTCCTAATGTCCAACCTAAACCTCCCTTTCTGCAGTTTAAGCCCATTGCTTCTTGTTCTATCCTTAGAGGCTAAGATGAACAAGTTTTCTCCCTCCTCCTTATGACACCCTTTTAGATACCTGAAAACTGCTATCATGTCCCCTCTCAGTCTTCTCTTTTCCAAACTAAACAAACCCATTTCTTTCAGCCTTCCTTCATAGGTCATGTTCTCAAGACCTTTAATCATTCTTGTTGCTCTTCTCTGGACCCTCTCCAATTTCTCCACATCTTTCTTGAAATGCGGTGCTCAGAACTGAACACAATACTCCAGTTGAGGCCTAATCAGCGCAGAGTAAAGCGGAAGAATGACTTCTCGTGTCTTGCTCACAACACACTTGTTAATGCATCCAGAATCATGTTTGCTTTTTTTGCAACAGCATCACACTGTTGACTCATATTTAGCTTGTGGTCCACTATAACCCCTAGATACCTTTCTGCCGTACTCCTTCCTAGATAGTCTCTTCCCATTCTGTATGTGTGAAACTGATTGTTCCTTCCTAAGTGGAGCACTTTGCATTTGTCTTTATTAAACTTCATCCTGTTTACCTCAGACCATTTCTCCAGTTTTCCAGATCATTTTGAATTATGACCCTATCTTCCAAAGCAGTTGCAATCCCTCCCAGTTTGGTATCATCTGCAAACTTAATCAGCGCACTTTCTATGCCAATATCTAAGTTGTTGATGAAGATATTGAACAGAGCCGGTCCCAAAACAGACCCCTGCGGACCCCACTTGTTATACCTTTCCAGCAGGATTGGGAACCATTAATAACTACTCTCTGAGTATGGTTATCTAGCCAAGAAGGACAGGGCCTCTGTGATGAGGACGGGGTGTGCAGACCTGCCTCAAACCTTGCAGCGCTGATGTGTGGAAAGCAAGTGAAGTGAGGCAGTGTGTGGGGTGAGGAGGCCTAGTCCCTGGAGAAGCTCCTGAGGAGTGGATCCAGCACATGGGACCTGGTTTCAGGCTGGTTCTGTGTAAAAGAATGACATCAGCAGGCCAGTTAAATTGGAAGAGGCTGCTACCGGACACCATGAAGCACACCTCCCTGCTCTCTGGCCCTTTCCCAGGGAGTAGGGTCCTTTAAAAGTCACCCTTGGACGTGTCCTCCTGCTGCTGCTGGTGACAAAGGAGGGGTTCCTCATGGATATGGTGGGGCAGGCCTCCAGGATCCAATGTCCTGGGGGCAGCTCCCCAACACAGTCTGGAGGGGGAGAGGACAGATTAAGGGAGCTGAGTGATCAAGCTGCTACTCTCAGCTCTGTCACTAGCTTCCTCAACTTTAAAAAAAACAAAAACAAATCACAACTTCTCTGTGCCTTAGGTATTCTCCCAATTTTTTGAGTGGGGAAACTAGCTCCCGGGATACTGTCGTAAGTCATTACTTTTTGTATGAATTAGGAATACATTTACAGATTAATAGGAGATGGCTGCATTGATAGACAATACTGCATTCAGGCAGACTGTATATATTGTCTATCTCAATGCTTTCATGGGACACAAACAACATACGCTATATTCTGGACATAATACAACACACTGTATAAACATTTTCATATAACATAATTTAATGTATTTGAAAATACATTTTAAAGTTATAGACATTCTTAAAAGTCCAACATGTTCTAGATCAGAGACATATAGTAATATCAACTCCGACAATATCTGTTATTTCCAAGGCACACATCTGCAAACCACCCCAAAACAATGACATATTAGGAACTTATTTTATCATCAGGGTTTCTCTTAATGAACAGATGGATTGACTGCAGGAACTGGGGTTTTCTAAAGCAATTTTTAAAAATCTCATACTTACAAATTAAATATTACAAAGTTATTTAAGAGGCAAATCATTTTTTTTAGATGACTGTCCAGTGTGCCTGGGTAAAAAATAACCTTTTAATTTATAAAATTAAAACATGAAACTTGAGGACCTCATTTCAGACATTTGGGCTATGCTAGCTTTAGGGTGCCGATCCACACTACGGGCCAGACCTTGGATGGTCACACAACTGGTGGAATCTGGTCCTAGAGCCATCCTAACTGGCCCTTGGCGGACTCACTAGGGGATCATCTGTTGCCCTTGTGCTGCTCAGATAGTAGGCAAGGTAGGTTGTGGCCAAGACACCCCTAGGAGACACTGGTTACTGGTTGTAGTTTTAGTAGCTCTAGGTGTTTGCATCTGTCATAAATTAGAATAGCCCATAGGCTGCTCTAATGGGGCACAAGGGGACCAGCTCTGTATAGAGTGGCCCCTGAATCAGAGGAGTGTGAAGATGAGATTTAATCCATCTTTGTATCCATTTCCTGACATGTGCTATGTGCAATCCAGCTGGACCCCAGGATCTCTCCCTCTTAAATTCTGTGCATTAATGTTTTGTTTACAGCTGACTAGATTATTTTTTATTGTGTATCCATGTGTTTAAATACTCTTAGGCATCTAGTAAATTCAAACCTTCTGCTATCCCATTTAGAATTTAGTAGACTAGCATTATGTTCAGTATTATCAGCTTTTCAAAAATATTACTGTTCGGGTGAAAGCAAGAAGCAGATAAATTTTAGCAGCTGTATGGTGACGCTGCATTTGCAGAGGCAAAATGAAAAGACATGCATATTCAGCATCAGTTATTAAACTCCGTGAAGACTACAATAGACCAACATAATGCCTTGTTTATGTCAACAGCAAAGGAGTAAACATTTATTGAATAATCTTAATACTGAAACGATTCTCCACTGCTCACATATAAGATCAGTTTTGTTTTTTAGTTCATTCCCACCTTTGAGCACACAGACAGCACACACACAAAATACATTTTACTGTTCTAAGGCAAAAGCATTATTTCCTGTTTCATTTTATTTAAAAAACAACCCCAAATCTTCGTGTAAATCAAGATTGCTACAGATAAAGAACTACGGCAGATTCACCTGAGATCATTCAGAAATCATAGGACAAGACCAATTATTGTGACTGACAGCTAAGATTTGATGGTCCTTTGTCTCATTTTTAAACAAACAGCAATTATCTGGAGAACTACTCTCGTACAGGGGAATGAAAATATCATCTGGAAAATGACAACTGGAAACAACTCACATCCATAGCAGGGAGGCAAATGCTTCTGTGAGGAAGTTAAGTCTCTGTAATAGCTTTACAGTCTATATCATATGCTATTTATATCATATATGGAAAATAAGACTGTACAAAAATGGTGCAACCAATTAGTGTGAATTTCCTTCCATTCGATTTTGTTTTGTCTTTCTAAACAAAAACAAAAAAAAGAGGCAAGAATTAGTGTGTGTACAAGCCTTCTCTGCATATCCATTTAGCATTTTTATAGTTGGCATATCCCTTAATGTCCATGTACCCAGTGGAATAGATGATGGACATAAAAATAATTTTACAGTAGATACTGCAAGTTTACCTAGATTCTGCAGAGTGCTAATGAACCAAAGCAAATATAGTCTACATGTGCATCCACCCTTGATTAGGGGAAATCATGCCCCTCTTAAAATCTTAATATTGTAATGAAGGTAACTGAGGCGATGATCACTTTTGTAATTTGATTATGCCTATAAGTAAAGCTGTGTGCTATTTGCTCATCTAGTGTAATTCTACAGAATGTAATTAGTGCCTGCTGGTGAGAAATCAAAATAAAAATGTAGATTCTTCAATCTGAAACTCTGCTGGCAAAGTAACTTAAAGCACCACAGAAATACATTTATGCAAGCAATTTGCATCTGAAGAGTCACAATTCTGTACCTAGATTAATGGCATGTTAGGATTTGCCATCATGCACTCTGTTGGGAAACCCATAGTCAAAGCTAAACTGGATCTCATAAATTTGGTGTCAGTTATAGACACACACAGTGTCACAGCGTTGCTCTTGCAGCTCAGGCAGAAAGCAGGGTGAGAAGTGTTTTATTTCTTTACTGACTTTTTTAAGCTGCTCATCACCACCGTATTTGAGATTCTCATATAGATTAATCCTCCCCAGCCACGTGAGGTAGGGAAGTATCATTATCCCTATTTTACAGATGGGGAACTGAGGTATAGCAAGATGAAGGGTGGGATTCACAAGGGGGCTTAGGCACCTGCCGCCTCGTGGAATTCACAGCCCTGAGTTAGGTGTCCAAGCTCCCTATACAATGCATGGTGGGCACTGGCACCTAAGAATGGAATTAACAAAAGCCATCACACTAGCAGGGAGTTGTCTAAGCTAGCCAACAAGGAACAGGCTTTATCTCACTGGTTAGAGCACACGCCCAGCATAAGGGAAACTGAAGTTCAATCCCTCCTCCCCTACCTAATGTGGCAAAAGGATTTTAACATGGATCTTCTACCTCCCAGGAGAGAGCCCTAGCTACTGCGCGCTAGGACATTTTGGATCAGGACTCTCTCAATCTCTCCCAGTGATGCTGTTCCACTGTGTATAAATACTTAAATATGCACTGGGCCAAAGACAGAGTAAGAATGACCATCCCAGTGATTATATAGGCCACCCCACTTTCAGTCTGCCTACGCCAATGACTATTTAATTATTTAAACAGGAGAGATGGAGAAACAGCTACCCAGGCATATGCCATAGTCTATTGGCTAAGGCAGCCCTCTAGGAGGTAGGCGACGCAAGTTCAAATCCTTTCTCCACCTCAGGCAGAAGTGGGAATTGAACCTGTGTAAGTGCTTTAACTACTGGACTAAAAGTTGTAAGGGAGGGGGGGCACTCTACCACCTCCTCCCGTTTTGGGTGTGTTTATTTGTGCTCCAAGCACACTACCCATTAAGTCATTAATTAGTTCATTAATTTTTCTGGGGCTTAAGTGTGAGTTAGGTGCCAAGCAGTATCAGGACTTACACTACTCTGGACATATTCAGCTGCTGAAATTTAGGCACCTGGGGGATTTTCATGGTTGGAAACTTAGGCATGAGAGACTTTAGGTACCTACAAGGTTAGGCAGCAGCTAAGCAAAGGCTTTGTGGATTGCAGTGGTGTCTAAATATTGGACTTCGGCAACTAATTCTACCTTGTGAATCCCACCCAAAGTGACTTGCTCAAGGTCATAGAAGAAATATGTGGTTGAGCTAAGAGCAGAACTCACATCTCCTGAGCCTCAGTCTACCTTATTTATATGCAGCCTTAATCACCAATGTGGCACAGCAGACAGCAGTTATGCCATGCAAATAGAGAGGATCAAATTGGGGAAATGGAAACCTAAAATGAACTGCATACAACGGTATTCAAGAACACCGCATCGTGGTTCAGAATGAAGGGATGAATGAGATTAACACACTGGCCATGATCTTGAAGGCTTTGTGTTAAGTCTCAATGGTTAAAGTAAGACTGCGGATCAATCCACGACGTAGCCAAGGTCAGATGCCTCAAGGGAAATACACATTCAGATAGCTGTGGAGACCATTACTGTTATTGTTAAAGAAGCAAACAACTAGAAGTAACAGGACTTTAGCAAGAGTATATTAGCAAACAAAACTCCAATTTAAAAATATTAGCTTGCTAAATTCACATCCCTACACTGGCTGAACCCCGAGATTTATCATGAAGTGTCTTCACTGTCCTAAGGCCGAGTGTCCATCTCTGGTAGAAATATGACAACAGAAAATAAAACACAAAGAAATGGTTCAAAGAGGGGCAAAAACAAAATCAAGTCAACACAATGGAATCAAACTCATTTTGAGTTGCATGCTAAAGTAACAAACAAGTAAAGAAAACAATTTTTGGAAAGATTACAAAAGTATAATTATAAATAATAGCTTTTCAAACAATATCAGAACTGCACCCAAAACACACTGCAGATTTTAATAATACAATTACAAAGTTAAACAACAGAAGGGGAGAGAAATTAAATGCTGCAGGCAAGGGAGAAAAGATAAGCTTTCAGAGGGGATTTGGAGTGAGAGGGAGACCCAAGATAACTTTGTCTCTTGCAGTAAGTCAAGAAGAAAGAAGCAACAAAAGGACCCTGTTCACCTCAGTAGCATTCTCCAATTCTCTGCTCTCATGCAGGGGGTTCAACTTGTTTCTGAATCAGGAGGTTCTTTTTCTGGAGAACTGTCATCACTGAGGTCACTGTAGCTATCACTAGCAAGAAAGAATAGATTGTGTGAGTGGTGTAGAAGAAATAATTGCTTTGTCTCAAGCCCTCCAACCCCAATGACCCACACTAAGGTCCTGCTTGAGGAAAGCCTCCCTACTCAGGAAAGCATGTAAGCACAGGCTTGACTGTAATGTCATTGTAACGTGTTTTCCTCAATAGGAATGGACTTAAGCGTCTGCTTAAGTGCTTTTCTAAATTGAGTCCTAAGTAACTGATGAGAACCAGTACTCCATACTGACAATATATTTTTTTTTTTGTTTGGTTACTATGTCTTAACACTTAACAGCTTGATGCTGAAGAGTGCTGAGTGACTGCAACCACCACTGATGTCACTGAAAGTAGCAAGTTCTCAGCACAAGATTAGAAAAGGAATGGTCTAATTTACAATAGAGAAGGCATTTGTTTTTACACTGAGAAAAATTTAAAGTAGAGCGGGTTGGGAATTTCCCATCGAAGGCTGCCTCCTAGAAGGCTCTTCTGCCTGTAGGCAGAAAGTCAAATTGACAAAAGCCTTCCAAAAGGCCTGCCATGGCTGGGCGCCCTGAATCTGCCTTTCTGGATCTCAGACCTCCCTGCCTTCACCCCAAACACCGGAGAGGCAAAGAGCCCAGGCGCTCAGCCTTCCTGCCCCCTCCTAGTTCTGGCCCCAGAAATAGGGGGAGGCTAAGGGTACGTCCACACAGCAAAAAAGGTCCAGGTCAGTGAGCCTCGCAGCCCAGGTCAACTGACTCAGGCTTGCAGGGCTCATGCTATGGGACTAAAAATAGCAGAGTAGATTGCTTGGGATGGAGCCCAGGCTTTCAGACCTCCCTCCCCCTTGTGGGGTCTCAGGGCACTTGCAGCCCAAGTCCAGCGAGCTTGAGTCAGCTGCCCGAGGCCAGCCATGGCCATGTCGTGGGTCTTTTATCGCAGTGTGGACATATTTTTCATGTGAAGGAATTTCCATTTTCTAGCCAGCTCTAATTAAAGGCCCACTTTTATTTATTTGACTTCACCAAAAAACTTAATTTATATTTAAACTAAAATTCTGCTATTTCAAAATCACATCCTCAGAACAAGACCATTACCAATGCACTACTAACATCCTAACAACTTCCCCCTTCACCTCCTGTTTCCTATAACGATACATTGTTTTCTACAGGATAGAAACTAGTGTGCTAGTGATCATTTTATCAGTGAACAGAACACAGAAATGGTGAAGAATGTAAAGCAGCACAGTGGTCAGCTGAAGGAACTTCAAACAGGCCACTGCAGCCTTGACCAGACAGACTGGACAGCTCCTTGCACAGCCTATGGCAGAGGATATGTATCTGGGTTGGCGAGCTCTTCTGCATGCCCAAATTAAACCTGTTCAGAAGATAACACTCCAGGTGGATCCCTGGCACTCTCCTCCAGTGTACCCCCCAGCTGTTTTAGCTCCCTGCGATCACAGGGGGGCTGTGAAAACCGGGGAGTCGGTAGCCCACTCTGACAGCTACTGAGCTGGTGAGCTGACTGGCAGCTTAGTTGGAAGGGAGATGGTATACTGCAATTCAGGTAATTTAGAAAAGTCATTAAACTGCTCTAAATTATGCTGGGGCTCAATGGAGTTTGCCTAGGGCGCTGGATTTGACCTTAATCTTGTCTTGTTCATGTTATATATATTACCTAATTAAAAGACTAAAATTGTAAAAGAGTAGGGCCTGGTCCACACTAACCCCCCACTTCGGACTAAGGTATGCAAATTCAGCTACGTTAATAACGTAGCTGAATTCGAAGTACCTTAGTCCGAACTTACCGCGGGTCCAGACGCGGCAGGCAGGCTCCCCCATCGATGCCACGTACTCCTCTCGCCGAGCTGGAGTGCCGGCGTCGACGGCGAGCACTTCCAGGATCGATCCCAGAAGATCGATTGCCTGCCGCCGAACCAGGAAGTAAGTGTAGACGTACCCTAGGATAGGGTATATGACAGCAAAGTTGTCTTATTTAATTTCAGACTTTCATTGCTAGAGGAAATCTGCAACAATGTAACTCATTATGTCCCTGCAGGAGAGAGGAACCTATGGCAACACAGACACAGAATATGCTGTCAGAATGAGTTTTTCTGCTGATGTAGGGACACTGCCTCCCTGAATGACATTAGTTATGCCGACAGAAGCATTCTTCTTTCAGCATAGCCGCATCTACATGGGGTTTTTTGTCAGCATTACTCTGTCGCTTGGGGTTGTGTTTTTTTTCATATTCTTGAGGGATATCGCTACGCCAGTATATTTTTAAGTGTAGATCAAGCCTCAGTTGCTTTCACATTTACTAAGGGTATGTCAACACTTGCAGATTTTTTGCGCTGTATGTTTCACCAGTGATAGGGAATCGGTAAAAGTAAAGCGCTGGTTTGTGTACACGCTTAATTCCTCAGGCGTCAGAGAGTGTTTACATTAGCAGCACTTCCATCGCCAATGAGAGCAGCATTCTAGGGCAGCTATCCCACAGTGCAGCTCTCTCCATTTCGACGATGGGTCTTGTGGGAAGGGGGGGGGTGATCGTAGGGCATCCTGGGTCCCTACACAGCCTCCTCTCCGCAAACACTGATCAGCTCCAGTAACTCAGCATTGCTTCAAGCAGGAGATTGTTTGCTCCGTGGAGCAGGCATTGTCACCTGCCCAGATGATAAGTGAGCACTTGCCAAGAAAACATGAAGGGGAGTTTCAAAGTTCCCAGGGCTTTACAGGGGTAAGGGGTGGATGTCTGTTTACCTGGCATCACAGCAGCAGAGCTGCTGGCCAGAATGGTCACCTAGGGACTGTGGGATATCCTCTGGAGGCTAAAAGCTCTGTAAACAGGAAGAATGTGCCTTCACTTGCACATCACCGGAAAAGCATCACTGGTAAGAGCTGTATGCCTCTCATGGAGGTGGTTTTCTTTTTGCAGTGAAACTTCTGAGTTTCACCACAAAAAGTCATTGGCAAGTGTAGACGCTCCCACGGTTTTTGCACAAAAAAGGAACTTTTTCCACTTTAAATGGCAAGTGTAGACATGCCCTAAGTCTTAACCTATAACTTTCTGTACTTCGTGTTATATGTATGTGGTTGATTAACCTTGTTAAAAGAGAGGGTCATATAGGACTAACTACATGATCAACCTGAGGATTTTAATATGTGGGAAACAATTACATTACCAACATGCACCAGCCATAGTGAAGGAAAGTGTTGCTAACAATATGGTCAAGCATGCCAAATGCACACAGACACACACAGTTTCATCAGAGCATCATTGCCATTGTACTTACTTCTTTCTGAATGTGCCCAAGGAAGCATGGAATAAAAACTTTGTATTATTAAAACAGTTATGCGTTTAATACAGTATAATACAGAACATTTTCAAGTACAGTAATTGCAGTGTTTTGCCATGTTATGATAACACCACTTAAACAATTAGCCTTTAAGTTTTCTATTAGCACTTGCAAATATTGGAACTTTTATTAGTTTGAGGAAACGTGCCCTATCTTTTGTTTCTCCATCCAGCATATATACCGTTAATTTTAAAAAGCTAAGGATTTTTGTCTTGCTTTAAAAAAGATTTAAAACTTTCCAGGCAGCAGCTGCTTATGTTACAAACCAATATCTGCGTCAAGTTTATAAGATTTACTATAATATGAAATGTATTATACTGGAAAAAATCTGTACAGAGTCTCAGGGTTGTATTATCCAGCAAAGAGTAATCTCCTCTCTTGGGAACAAGCGTGTATTGCCTTTCAAATTGCACTGAAATGCTGCAGAGATATTACACATAAAGATTAAATAGCTATTTGTGCTTGGGGGTGGCTAATATTAAATACATTATATAAATCTCATTGAAGTTTTCTGGTTAAGAAAGTGGTGGGAAAATCAAATAAGCACGGTTTTTCCTTTAAGAAACTTTTGTCCACTGAAGTGATCTCTCACTGAAAAAAACTATGTCTTTATTTCCTTCCATGGGGTTTCTTTCAGTTTGTGTGCCCTGAGCTGAGCAAGATCCCACTTGCTTCACTTGGTTTGTGCTGCTTTGGCAACACCATATTCCCACCACAAGGGGGAATGATAGGGTTGTGTAGGGCCGCTTCTATGTCATCCCCCCTCTGCACATCCAGAGTGTGAGGGCATGGCCAAGAGAAAACGGGAGAGCAGATGGGGTCTCTATATCTTGTCAAACTTCAGCTCTCAGAACAGAACCTTTGGGCCTTGGAAATAATAATGGTGAAGACTCTGTCAGTCACTTCGGCCTCAATTTAACTCCCACAGTAGTCAAAGGAAATATTGTAATGGACTCAGTGAGAGTTGGATCAGGCCTTTTATGGCTTTAAGTAATTGTTAAAAAAGTAAAGACTTCTTGGAACAAAATGATGCCATTAGCTTTGCCCAAGAACATTTCCTCAGAGCCCTATTGACACTAACACCTGCTTGTTATGTTTAGCTACTCCATCTTATCCTGCCTGTCGGATGTGAACATTAAGGTTCAAATTATCTTTTGGGATTGATTGATTGAACAGGAGGTAATTTAGGGCAAAATTTGACTTAAAAAAATATCAGTGAATTACAATAAAATGAAATATCACTTGGGGCAAGAGCTGGGGGACAGATATTCCCAAACGGTAGCAAGCAGAAACACTCTTATGTAGGAGCAGGTTTTTTATACAGACTTTTTCAGGATGGATCCAGCCTCATTCTCCTCCCCCAGCACTCAAGCAAGAGTTCCATTAGCACCAAATTCACCCACATTTAGAGCCCTGGGGTGTCCCCATCTGTTTATTCTAGTTACTGTACATCTGTTTTCCCCTCACATACCATCATGTATCAGCCAATGTAGTGCCTAGGTGCAGCTAAGAGGAGAGGATTTCCTGTTCGTGTTACTATTTAAATCATCTGGATGTGTTCATGTGGTGATGGGGCATGAATGTAAGCTGCAGCATGTCACCCCACTGATGTATCTCAGCTGCTACAGGGGCAGGGAGTTAAGATCATGTCTAAACAAGACATAATCTGCTGTGATGCAGATCAAATTTAAGCCAGCTGAAGATTCCCTTGGAGAATTCCCTGTGTGTAGCAGGAATCTCCACCAGCAGAAGAGCTGGTGGGGGAGGCACCGCTGAAATCTCCACTCTTGGCATAATGGAAGGTAGGGGTGGGGAGAAGGTGTGGAAAAACAAGGTTCTAATGTGCCCCGTTCTCCAATGGCGAGAGGTCTCCGAAGAATCTTATGTCAATGACAGAAATTAAAGCTGCCCCTTTTAACTTACACCAGGGCTGGGCAGCTGAAAATCAGGGAGCAATCGGCTGTTCCCCTCTCTCCACTACACAGCAGAAAAAAATCAATCCTTTTGTGTCTTATTTTGCCCAGAACTTTTCAGACACTAGGAATTATACCAATGGTGTCACTGTTTCCATGGGACTAGAGATTGCCTTTGGGCACAGCCCTGAGCAAAGGAGACCACCCCAGGAGTAGACCTGAGAGGCAGTGTGACTCAGAGACACACCTTTGAGGCAAAATTCCTTCCCAGAGCAAGGAGGAAGCAGGGAAGGTTGTGATTTGCTTCCGGGTTTTCAGATGCCTTTGAGGCAAATTGCCTAGTAATACTACTACAGAAGCTAGGACTCAAAAAAGCATTAGACTGTTATATGGGTAATGAAAACGTCCAGTTACATTAGATGGTTAAAACGCATTTAGAAAGGATAGAACCCTTAGACTTCAGTCAACCACTAACTAACTAAGCACACTGCTAAGTCAATACCTAAAGGTTCAATTCACAAATGGACTTAGGTGCCTGACTACCAACATTTAAGTACACTAACGTTCACAAAACTGCTACCTAACCCTATAAGGCTCCATTTCCACCAGTCAGCACCTACAAAGCTGCCTAACTCCTGATGCCATCTCACAGCTAATGAGCTGATCGGAGCTCTTGCTGACATCTAAGCCCCAGAAAGATTCTCAAACTAGGTGTTCCCCTAACTATATCACCTGCCAGGCCTGATCCACTAGGCATGCTCAGAGCACACCTAACCTCTACAAAAGGGGGCAGAAAGCAGGTCAGGAATTTTTCAAACTGGCTGGGGTGTGCAGCTGTATGTCTAGAATACCCAATAGCGAAGGTGCTTATCTGGGATGTAGGAGACCCCAATTTGAATTCCCACTCTGCCTGATTTGGAGCAAGGACTTGAATCCAGCTCCCTGACATCCCAGGTGAGTGTCCTAACCATTGGGCTATGGGCTGTTCTGGAGGATGGCTCATTCAATTGCTTCTGTTGAAGCTGTTCCACTTTGCATAAGTACTTAAATATTCATTGGAGCAAGGACTGGAGCCTGGCTCTCCCACATCCTGGGTGAGTGTGCTGACTACTGACTATAAGGGGGTGGAGTCTCTGTTTTTTGTAAGAAATGGCTGACTTGGCTTAGACACCTCGCTCCAGGAAAAAGTTCATGGCTAAGAATCTAAAGCAGAGACAAGTGCCTAAGGCACAGCTCAATAGGAGTTAGGTACCAAAATCCCTTTATGCATATGGGCCCTAATCCCCACCCCTACATCTCACTCCTGGCTAGCTTAACGCTCCCCATTCAGTGCACAGGGAGTCTGGGTGCCTAAGTCAGGGTTGAGAATTCTAGCAGACTGCAGGACACCTAGGAGTTAGCGTTGCAATGCTTATGTCCTCTTTGAGAATCTACTCCTAACTCATTAGGTTTAGGAAGGAACTTCCCCTATAGGTTTTCCTGTAATTGTCCACTTCAGGGTCTCTTGCACCTTCCTTTGAAGCATCTGGTGCTGGCCACTGGTAGAGGCAGGGTACTAGACTAGACAGACCATTGGTCTGAACTGATATAGTAGTTTATAATTGGCAGGGGGAGGGGAACACCACGAGAGCATCCCCTGAAACCAGGACTTGGCATTGCAAGGGTAGTTCCCCTCTGACACCCCCTAGTGTCTGCCATTCTGGTTCTGCAGTGGTCTGTGGCTTCCTTGGCCCAGTCCTCCAGCCAGTTCAGTCCCCTTCTGGTATTACAACAGTCCAACTGAAAATTCAAATAAACATCCAAACAAATGGTTCTTCTGCCTCTCTTGGGTTATTCTGACATTCCCTGCTCTTCATCCCTACGCCCAGGCTCTGCAAAGTTCTTCTTTGCACCTTAAACTGAGCACTGCTCTCCACAGCTTTCTCCCTAGCGGCTTTTTTCCTCCTAGCAGGTTTCCCACTGTTTCCCTCTACAGGGACTCTGGCAGTTTCTCCCAGGGACCTCCCTGCTTCTTATAGACCTGACCGCAGGGTCTTTCACATGGCTTCCTCCTCCTAAATATTCTCTCTCAAGCCTTGTTATGAGGCCCACATATTCATCATACTAACACCTGCTCCCATTAGCCCCACCCGCCTCAGGCTGGGATATAGTTAATTACGGCACAGCTGAGACCAGCCACTTTCCCCTTATAGAGGCCAGTCTTCCTGTGATGCAGTTCCTAACTTCCTATTCTACTATTTTCCCTGCCAATGCTGGATTGTTTCCTACTTTACACTATCAGTGTATTGCCTACTACAGTGTGCAAAGTAAGGAGCTTCCACCACTTTTCTAGGGAGACTATTGCAGAGCCAGATATATCTTGTCATCAGAGTTCGTGCTGATATTCAGTCTCAGTTCTCCCTTTCTTAATTTCATTCCATTATTCCCAGTGGTAACCGTTAAGTAATTCCTCCTCATTCACAAGGCTGCCCAGGGCAGGAGGGAGGCAAAAGGGGCAGTTTGCCCTGGGCCCCCTGTTTGAGAAGGCCCCCAAACCAAATGGCGCTGTGACCCCACATGCCAAATCACAACGCCTAGAGTGGGGAGCTGGGCCCAGCCCCATGGAACAGGAGCTCCTTCCGTGGGGCAGGCTCACTCTCCAACAACCCCCCACGAGACCTCCCCTCAGTCAGTGGTCATTTTTTGGGGAATTGTAGAGAGGTCTCTGGCCCATTCATATTTGCACCCTTCAGATATTTGGATATTGTATCCCTTCCTTAAGTGTCATTTAGCTAAACTACATATGGTTAGTTCTTTTACTTTTTTCTTCTCTCAATCCCTCTAACTTGTCAATATTCTTCTATTAATGTGGTTATCAGAATTTAATGGAATACTTCAGAACTAGGTAGAGAAGGATGGTTACTCCCCTGCTCTGCATTTTTCCAAGTGGAATCTCATTTCATTCTTTTCAGCTCATGTTTCTAAACTGTCCAAGTCCTTTTGTATCATTCCTGTGCCCTGACTGGTGTTTCCAATTCCTCCTAAATTAGTATTGTTTGCAAATGTCATTAATTTATTGTTACCCCCCTGCTCCAGACCCATTAATGAAGTTATTAGAAAAGACCAGGCCTGATGATTCCTGTGGTTTCCCATTAGACACCTTCTTTCAACTTTACATGGTGCTGCTTTTTTCCCCTAATTAGTTTATTCTACTTCAGTGGCTTTATAACCAACATGACATTAGCTAATTTCTACTACTTTTTCAAGCAAGATTTCACAAGACCCAGTACCAAATTCTTTACTAAAATCCAAATATATTACTTCTGAAGTTCTCTCTTCATCTACAAGCTTTATAATCAAATATTTTATCTGTAAATATTTATTCTTTATAAACCCATGATGCTTATTGCTCATGGTCCCTTTTGGATTTAGGGATCAGAGCTGCTGTAAACTGACATAGCTGCACTGAAGCCAATGGATATACTCCAATTTACACCAGCTGAGGATCTGGCCCTAAATGTTTAGTGATTTCTTTTACTTAATCTTTGTTTCATTACTTTACCAAGGAAAGAAAATATATGTATAGGATGGCAATTGTCAAGAATCACATTTGTTTTCTATTTTCAGAATTGTCTGTTTGTTTTTCTCTGGCATCTCCCTAATAGTCTGTACTTTTTCAGAAATACCCTTTCATTTACTAGTATACTTAATATCCCCTAGGATAATCAATAGTTGGAATGGCTGATTAGTAGATTTTGAATTTTTTTATATGTTCTTTTACCATGCCAGAGACATACACCACGCTCCTTTACGCATTGAGAACAAAGGGGCACTTTAAAGAAATGAAAGGACATTTCATTTAGAACCAATAAAACTGTACTTCCCTTTCCAATTTATAGATAACCTCTGTAATGCACTACTACAGGAGGCCATCAAATGAAACTCTGAATTTGAAAACGGGATAGATAATGTTATGACCATGCCTCTTATAACATTTGTAGCAATGGTTAACAAATAGGGCTGTCGAGCGATTAAAAAATTAATTGCGATTAATCGTGCTGTTAAACAATAATAGAATACCATTTATTTAAATATTTTGGATATTTTCTACATTTTCTACACTGTCAAACGTTAGAGCCTACAAGTCCAATCAGTCCTACTTCTTCTTCAGGGAATCGCTCACACAAACAGGTTTGTTTACATTTGCAGAAGATAATGCTGCCTGCTCTTGTTTACAATGACACCTGAAAGTGAGACCAGGCATTTGCATGACACTGTTGTAGCCAGCGCCACAAGATATTTACATGCCAGATGCGCTAAAGATTATGTTCCTGGATGATTCAACCACCATTCCAGAGGACATGCGTCCATGCTGATGACGGGTTCTGCTCGATAACAATCCAAAGTAGTGTGGACTGACATGTTCATTTTCATCATCTGAATCGGATGCCACCTGCAGAACGTTGATTTTCTTTTTTGGTGGTTCGTGTTCTGTAGTTTCCACATCAGAGTGTTGCTCTTCTAAATGCATGCTCCACACTTCATCCCTCTCAGATTTAGAAAGGCACTTCAGATTCTTAAATCTTTAGAAATCTCACATTGGTATCTTCTTTGCATTTTGTCAAATTTGTAGTGAAAGTGTTTATAAAATGAACAAGTACTAGGTCATCATCCGAGACTGCTATAACAAGAAATATATGGCAGAATGAGGGTAAAACAGAGCAGGGAACATACAATTCTCCCCCAAGGAGTTCAGTCACAAATTTAATTAATGCTTTATTTTTTTAACGAGCATCATCAGCATGGAAGCATGTCCTCTGGAATGATGGCTGAAGCATGAAGAGGTATATGATGTTTAGCACATCTGGCACGTAAATATCTTGCGACGCCAGCTACAACAGTGTCATGCGAACGCCTGTTCTCACTTTCAGGTGACATTGTAAATAAGAAGCGAGCAGCATTACCTCCCATAAATGTAAACAAACTTGTTTCTCTTAGCCATTGGCTGAACAAGAAGCAGGACTGAGTGGACTTGTAGGCTCTAAAGTTTTACATTGTTTTGTTTTTGAGTGCAGTTATGTAACAAAAAAATCTACATTTGTAAATGGCACTTTCATGATGAAGAGATTGCACGACAGTACTTGTATGAGGTGAATTGAAAAATACTATTTCTTTTATCATTTTTACAGTGCAAATGTTTGTAATAAAAAATAATATAAATTGAGCACTGTATACTTTGTATTCTGTGATGTAACTGAAATCAATATATTTGAAAATGTAGAAAAACATCCAAAAATATTTAATAAATTTCAATTGGTATTCTATTGTTTAAAGTGCGATTAATCACGATTAATTCAAAAAACTTAACTGCGAATAAAAAAATTAATCACATGAGTTAACTGCGATTAATTGACAGCCCTATTAAGGTAATACACCTCTACCCCGATATAACGCTGTCCTCAGGAGCCAAAAAATCTTACTGCGTTATAGGTGAAACCGCGTTATATCGAACTTGCGTTGATCCACTGGAGTGCGCAGCCCCGCCCCCCCAGAGCACTGCTTTACCGCGTTATATCCGGATTCGTTTATATCGGGTTGCATTATATCAGGGTAAAGGTGTATTTGAATATTATGATTTATAAGAGATGGCCTGCAGAAGTCAGGAAGGAGTTTTTCCCTATATGTACATTATTATACAATGGCCAGGACCATCAGAGTTGAAGTTCACTTGCATCTGAAAGATCTGCTGTAAACTATTAGAATCAGAATACTAGCAGTTTGATTTGGCTTGGTAATTATTATGTTCCTATTGAGTCTTCAGAAAAAAAGCAAAACTGGCAAGTTGTGCACTTTGCTTTCAGGATCCAAAGTTGGATCTGAGTAGGTTATCTTACAGTGGTCTATATTTTGAGAAGCTTTGCCATTTTACCCTAGGTTTCCCCTGGCCTCACATGCTCTTTATAATTATTACTATTAACATGGCATCTTTGATCATTAAAGCATTTTACAAATATGAATTAATTAACACAGGCTGAAAAGTATTGCTATAAAAATGAAATGTCCCAGGAACTTTATCTTGGTTACAGAGACAGGTCTGGGGCTGTTGGGATCAGAGATCTTGGTTTGGCTCAGCCACAAAATTATGACCTAGGTTCAAATCCTCCCCAAACTTGGGTTTTGCTTTGGGCCTTTTTCTGCTTGCTCAATATTATTACCTCGCTGCAACAAAATAACCTTGACATTCACTGTTTCATTGTTATGTTCATTCACATACAGATAGGTAAGAACTTCACTTAACTGCATGAGCTGCCAGCAGACCTTTTTCCAGGTAAAATAACCATTAACACAGGTGAAGTTAGAGGGCCAGACACCTCCTGTGAGGTGAGAAATAATTTTCCTGGAACTGATTGCAGCCAGTCAGGATGTACTTATTTGCATTTCATTACTGTAGTACTTTATTGTTTCTGATCCTACTATTGTTAGTCTTAGAGGAGGAAAAATACAGAGATATGGCTCTTCAAATGACTGTTTTTAGCCAATCAGGAGTCAGGATTTCTCATAAATGTAATAAAAATCAATATAAAAAAGCCCCCTTCCCTTCCTGATTTATTGTATCAATAAAGGATAGTCCTGCTGAAACTGTAGGCAAACAAGAAAATAATAACATTACCTTGGAGACAATTTACATCCACGTTGCAAGTATGCACTGAGTGTCCCAGTTGCTGCAAGCAAGAGACCAAGGTATGGAGGTGAGGGCTTCATAGGTCTCGAGGAAAACTCTGGATGAAACTGGACACCAACAAAATATGGGTGATCTAAAATCCAAAGGGCATAAAGAAAATGGTAAAGGCTAGAAAATAGAAGAGAGTTCTTAATAAAGCTACTTTATAAGGAAAAAGATTTAACACAGGACACTCAAGGTTTCATAAATACCTCTCCAAATCTTATAATTTCATATGAATTTAATGGGGAAAAAGATCTTAATATTCTTTGATTAAATACAACAAAGGAAAACTGAATACAGCTATACAGGCTGTAATATGCAGACCTGAATGCCAATAATAGCACAAGCCACTCGTGATTTCATTCCCATATTTACAATGAAATCACTAGAATGCACCGAGTGTGCTTAGGCTTATCTCTCATATTTACACTGTAGTTTAGTTTAGTCTCTACATATTTTGTGTGCATGTACAGATACACATAAATCTAAGCACAGTGTGCATAATAAACTGTCAGATCCTGCAAGCTGCTGAGTGCCTTCAACTCCCACTGAAATAAGTAAGTGTCAAGAAGGCCCACTGGCTGGAAATAGGAAGAGAATGATGACCCCATTTTGCGGAGGATTTTGATATTTGGTTTCATTCTGACTTGGAACACAATCCCAAAATACTGTAATTATCCACACAAGGGAATGGAGCTCTGGCTCAGGTGTAGTCTGTGTGGTAGGCTGCTGCAGAACCTAGAAGCCCTGAGGTACCCTGACTCCAACGCAGACTGCGTGACGGGCTGCCCCAAAGGCATGGAGACGCTGGAAGCCTGGGCTACTAAGAAGCTGCAAAGCTCAGAGCCAGGGTTCCCTGGCTCTTGGCTCCCCATCAGCCTGCTGTGGAGTCAGGTGGACAAGCTGGCAGGAAATCATCTCTGTGAAATGGTTTGATTTCAACAAAAGGGCAAATTCTGACAAAATGTTTTGTTGGTATTTTCCTGACCAGCTCCAGAGAATATATTTACTCAATCTTTTCAAGTAGGACAAAGGAGCTGATCAGATGTCCCAGTTGTGTGTACTACTGACCTGCAACCTTTGGTATAAAATACTGTAGAATAGAAATATAAGGATTAATTGCAATAAGTATGGTCACTACTAACAGAGAAGACTTTTTTTTTTCCTCTAAGGAGAACTCTGTTTTTTCCTGATGGGGAATTCTGACTGGTAAATGGGAATTGTGTGACCTTAATTCATTCATCCCATGTGTATGCATTGATACAGTTTTTAATTACATGATCACATACTGTTTTTTCCACAGGACCCCTGCCTCATTCAATGAAGGGATGGACCTGCTCTGGGACTGAATCATGGTTGTGTAGTGAAGGAGGCTCTGTAGGATCCCTGCTTCATTGGTCTCATGGGGAGGACAGCTGAATGCTGCCCTGAAGAACTGGATTCTATCCCTGCCTCTGCCACAGAGTTTCTGTGGCTTGCTGGGCAAGTCACTTAAACCAAAATTTTCACAGGTGGTCACTTATTTCCTGGGTTCCTTACTTGAGACTGTACAGTCTGATTTGCAGAAGTGATGAGCACCCACAGCTGCAACTGAAGGCAATGGGGCTGTGCTTTGAGCAAGTACTATTTAATGCTAAGTTACTCTGAAAAATCAAGTTCTAAGTGTCTCAGCTTGATTAGTGGATATGCTCGATTAACCTTTGTGCCTCATCTCCCCATTTGCAAAATGGAAATGCCATCCCTCACCTCACAGGAGTGTCATGAAGATACATTAATATTTGTGGATCACTCTGATATTACAGCAATGAGCACCACAGAAAAGTCCTTGAGGAAATTAATACTTCTGTCTTCAGAGCAGGGTTTGGATAGTGTGCAGAAAATAAGGCCTGGTCCATGAACAATGAAAAGCAAACAAAATATGCTGATTCAGTAAGCACTGTCCATTCTGTTCACTGAATGAGGAGGGGTCCTGTGGAAAAACTAGTATGTGATCATGTAATTAAAGAACATTAAGTGGTCATGTTAGAAAAACATCTGGAGAGCTTAAGATCACCTGAAGACACCAGGTCTATTTGTTGGACTGTAGCAAAGAAAATGGTCAAAGGCACTGCTGATGCTAGCACTAATAGCCACATCTACTCTAAGGCTGTGCAGCTATACATTATAATGACCCTTACTATAGCTTGTGTGTGACAGAGAAGACAATGAACATATATTATAAATAGTAGTTTATCACATTCAATATAAACACTGAAAGTAATAGAGTAGCAGCACTGACTTTCTAAAGCCAACATAAAAATAGAGTAGGTATATGTTTCTCTTAAAAATAGAATAGTGTGCTTATGTTGAAGCAAGATGCGTCTAGTTTATATCTCCCATTGTTGTATGCATGTTGGTGTAGCCATACTGATCCCAGGATATTAGAGAGATGAGGTGGGTGAGGTAATATCTTTTATTGGACCAACTTCTATAGGTGAGAGAGACAAGCTTACACAGAGCTCTTCTTCAGGTCTGGGAAACTCGAAAGCTTGTCCTCATCAACAGAAGCTAGTCCAAAAAAAATATATTACCTCACTCACCTTGTCTCTCTAGTTTAAATCTGAGCATTTAGGTAAGGTTACTATTTGAAAGAAAGTAAGGGGAAATGTTTTAGGACATTCCTGTTCCATACACCTATTTCTCCCACAAGGATGCTGCTATTAAAGCCCTAAAGCAGTTAACATTGACCATTATCAGAGACAGGACATTGGACTATATTGATCATTGCTCTCTTCTGGTACAACAATTTCCAAAACAGTTTCCAGTTCCAGTGAGTTCCGCTGCATTATCATAGAGTTGGTGGTTACAGGAAAAGTATGTTTTCCTATGACATTGAAAACCAGGTGTACACTACTTTTACAATCACTAATATATCACTGCAAAGCATGCCATGTAAGGTATCAATGGAAAAGCTGTAATCTGCTAAATATGATAATCCTGTTTATATGCATATATCATCTTTGTATCTGAAGTTATGAATACTTGCTATGTATTTGTATCTCAAACATGGGTTGTGCTCCTGGCTTATACCCCACAGACAAATTTACATTCAGGCTAGCCATCACTGGTTGATGGGCCATCCATATGGTGATGGGCCATTGACAGGAATCAGCTCTTCAGTGAGCCCTTCCTGAAGATGCCACAGACAGTGTGGAGCCAATGGCTACCCATATGAATTAGCAAAGCATGTAAGGACATGTGATGAGGACATGTGAACTAAGACTCCATCTTTTGCAAGTAACTTTCCATGCTCATGTGATCCGGGACTCCATATTGGCCAGTAACTTTCCATGCAAGAGTTGAGCTAAAATTTGCAATCTGTGACATCACTGCTTTGTCTTCATTCCTGCTTCTCATCTCTGCACTGTGATTTTCTAAGGAAGCTTTGAACATACGACTGAATGACCCCTGACCTGCTTGGGTGAACCAGAGAGATTTTTTGTTTACAACCTAGTAGATTCAACATCACTGCTATGATCCTGATCTACAGATTCTGAAAATCACTTGTAATGTATCTGATTCTCTTAACCATTTAAGAACTTTTTTTCTTTTTATGTTGTTAAACCTTTAGTTTTTAGCTACTAATGGACTGGCATCAGCTTGATGTTGGGTAAGATCTGAGTTATATATTGACCTGGGGAGGTGGCTGATCTTTTGGGATTGGAAGAACTTTATATATGATGAACATGGTTTTCAGTAACGTCTCATCATAAAGATCAGATGTCTGGGTGGTGATAAGGGCTGGTTGCCAAAGGGGGCTGTGTTGTTAGCTTCTTGTTGACCAGTGTGGTGCTACAGAACCTCATTCAGTTACTGGCTTGGTACATCTAATGTTAGAATAGCCACCAGGTTTGGGTGTGTCTGCCCTATTTTTATCAGTCTGTCCTGAATTTGGTATTCTCAGCTGAGACTCGCACCAGTCAACAAGGTGGTTACAGGAAAAGCATGTTTTCCTATAACAATGAAAATCTGGTAGTTTTATATGTTTTAAAGGAATCTGGTTCCATTGCTTGTTTCTTTTAGGGAACCATGCTATATGGTAAAAGCAGCAAAACAAGATTATTGCAAGACATCAAAATAGTATCTGTAGGGATATTCTTCTGAAATGCTTTGCCTACCCTATTTGGTAGAATATATTTCTGTCCCCAGTGTCTAACTCCCCTGAGGGGATTGTTTTTCCCCTTCAATGATCAGAGCCCCTTTGCAAACCATTGTGAAATAATTCCAGGTTTTACTGCTGTTCTTATTCCTCTCGTAGTAACATATAATTTAAAAACCCTGCCCTATTTCATTATGCTCCCTACATAAATCATTTCATCCAAAGCAAATGAAATAGCCTTCTAATACCAATTATCAGCAGGTGTAGCAGGAACAAACTATACAAAAAATTACCATGAGAGTTATTTGATTATGAAAGCTGATGTACACCTTAGTGGCAATCTACACTGCAGATGTTTGACATGATAGAAATACATCTTCATTCAAACTCTGGTTCAGAATTAAAGCTTTCTTCTTTGACAGAAACAGAAATATAACCTTGTGTTTTAGCAGTTTATAATATCCCACTTGAAAGGTATTTTGGAAGCCTGAATAACACATTATGGTGTGTAAAATTAATTCACCATTCATGTCTCCAGAGAATCCTTTCAGAAACAGTGTTCTGTCCAATAACAATTTGCCTTTAACTTTGATTCTGTATATAATGGCTGAAATTTTAGCTAACAGTTAACATTTATTAGACTCAGTGACTTAAAATAGGGATGAATTAGCAAGGGGCTCAAAAGAAGAAGAGAGCTATTATCCCTCCTGGCAGTACAATGTTAAAATTCAACAAAGTAAAGTCAAGTCAATCTGCAGAATAATTTCTCCTTTATGTTTTGTGTCTTCTGGAGGTCCTTGCCATAGGGGAGAAAATAAATCTTATTTGGTGTAGTAATCCAAATCTACTGAGTATCCATATTGCTAAAACCCACCTGTTTGAAGTAAAAATAGTTAACTTCTTTGTGAAGGAACAGAGCTTGCTTTCTAGACAGTGGTTCTCCTTGGTTTCAGGGAAGAGACACATAAAGGAGTTGTGTGTTTTGTTGTGGGTTAAAGGTAGAATGGTAGCAAGAATCCCATCTGGCACTCCCTTTATTGAGTTTATTCAGAGTTATTTGGACAATTAATAGCCGCAAAAAGGCTATCTGCTCTTCAGTAAAGGCAATAATCCCTTCCAGACTACCTGTTTGAGGGGAAGAAGTTATTTGGCTTTTTTGATGCCTCAGCCACTACCTTATCTATTGGTTTGGCAAACACCTTGCCACCTGCGTATTCTGATGTGGTCAGGAGTTGTTGAGCTAGGATGTCAGCCTTTTGGAAGAGAGCCGCATGACTCCTTGACACTGCATTGTACGTATCGTCCTAGAAGAAAAATGGAGGGGAGTGGTTCCTAACATATTCTGGTTGGAGCCTCGTCCCTTTGTACTAGAGCAGTCATAGGATACAAGAATCATTTTTGGCTTAGTTAGTAATGTTTTTATATACAGTTCACTCTAATAATGTTCTCACTTATTTAATATATGCAGAAGGTGTTACAAAAAAACTGAGCTACTTACTTTCCAGTTCAATGATCTCCATTCTACTCCCTTCTGTGTCACGGCCAACAAATTTCAAACCTTTCTCTTCAAAGCAGCCAGTCAATTCTGGATTTACCTGGAAAATTGAAAAATACGGGTAGTAATTATTGTAGTATTTACATAGTTAACAAAGGTAGATAAGTTTTAATTTTTAAATATATATGTAGGAAAGTAGGGGCTGGGAATTATCCCTTGTTTAAAAATTGTGCAGTGGAAATTTGTAAAATTGGTGATTCTTACGTAATATGTAATTAAACAATTTTTTTAAAATGTGAAATACATCCAAAATACTAAAATGGCTCCTACTAGTATACTATATTTGTATCAAGCATGGTTAATATTCTAAAACATGTATTATGTAGCTAATAAGCAAGTATGTTTCTTTAATATAGTCAACCTTAAAACAGTAAGTTGGTGAACACTTGAAGTCCTAAAGGAAAACAATGCCCAAGTAAAACCCACATGACTCATAATACCTAGAATAAACAACTTCATACAGCACCTTCTCACACATACATACCCACAGATACTCACAAATATAGGATATTCCTTTCCCAAGCAAATTAACATTTAACAACCCCAGCCACCAAGTTGATACCCAACCAACCTTAACTCTGCCCTATGTGGCTTGTCAGTGTTCCTGTAACTCATTATTTCCTATACTTGATTTCAGCATTATTTGCCCTAAGGAGCTGTGCAATTTTAAGTAAGGTTTGGACGTGTGGGGGGTTGTTGTTTGGGGGTGGGTTTTTTTTGTATTTGAACTACATCGTGTTTATTATTTTGCTATTAATAAGGAGTGTTACTACATTGCATGGTTGGTAGAATAATAGTTATTGATCATTAGGCAAGAGAGAGTGTACAAGGGGCTCAGTGGGCTGGGCAGCCTAGTAGTTAGTGTACCCAAATTCCAGCCCTTTGCCTCTCTCTCAGGGCAGCAGAGGTATCTTTTCCTGATCTTAAGCCAGGGATCTTTGGCTTCCCACCCACGTCAAGCTATAGGCCCTTAAGAGGATATAGTAGGGGAACCTGTGAGAAAGTGACACTGGCAGAGTCCTCCCTGCAGTAAGTCTAAGTTGCTCCCCTGAGGCACTTCCTACCTATAGATCCCTTCAGTTTGTAGCATGCCCCTATAGTCCAAATGAACAGTCAATCCCCTTACACCAGAAGAATCCAAAAGAGCAGGGCTCTGCCAGACTTGCTGGTTCTTAAAGAGGGTGGTAGCTGGCAAAGGCTCTGCCTGTGGGCCTTGCCCACTCTGTGGCCCTCTCTCAGGCTCACTCTTCTGTCTGGCTTCCCAGAGAAGGATTCCTCTCTGCTACAGTCTGTTCACCACCCTTTGGCTGAGCTCCTTTTAACCCAATCCTCCAGGCGGAGCATGCTCGGCAGGTCTGGAGGCACAGGGCAGCCAGGGCCCAGTATTGCTTTTAAACCCCTTCAGGCCCTGGGTGGGGTTTGTATATCCCATCACAGAGAGGTACAATAAATGTGTAGTTTTTGCAGGGCATGCAGCATGAACTGAACATGGTTTGCAGAACAGGAGTGCTATCAGAGCAGTGCAGCCAGGAGACAACATTCTTCTTTTTATTTTGTCATTAGTACTTGCTACTCAGAGTCACACAAATGTGATTACCTCCCCTATTGTGCTGGTGTTCACTGATATAGATGGAGGCCTAACAGTCCCCTATAACTTTATTCAAGTAACCAATCAAATCATTTCTCATAAGCCATCTCCCCTTGTGATGCTTCTCTTCTAGTCTGCACAGCATAAGTGCGGCTTCCCCTAAGATCACTCTGAAAGTCTGTTGACAGGAGGGGCTCATACAATAAGCTGCAGTTACCTCATCTTAGAGACAAATCTGTTACCTATGTGAATTATCTGAGCTCAACCAGCCTGAGAAGCAGTACACCTAATCCTGCTCCCAATGAAATCAATGGGAGTTTTACCATTAACTTCACTGGGAGAAGGATTAAATCCAGTATCACTCTTCAAGCTGGGTCTCCTAAAATGCAACATTGTCTGCAAACTACAGAACCCTTTGAAGTACATCTAAATAGTACCTACTATTATACCAACCCCCTAAAGCCTTGCTTCACCCTTATTCAGGAAAACTCCCATTGACTTCAGATTAAATAAATTCTTCATAGTTTGCCAATGCTATAAATTCTCTACAATATAAATTATATTAGCAATGCCTTACCTCATACCGATGCCTGTGTCGTTCCTCCACAAAATCTTCATTACCATAAAGTTTCCCTGAAAATAACACAAGGGAAATGATTAATAGCAAAGTATTGCTTCTATCAAACATTTCTAGAAAGCAGAAGATACAGCTCTTACCATGTGCCATAGTGTTTCTAGTGTTATTCTTTTAGCTCACAATGTCTTGCACATGCTCCATGAAATCTAAATTCCAAGAAATTTCTTACACTCAGACAAACAACCCAATTGTATTCACTATGCCCCTAACACAATCTTCGCTTGTGCTTTCCTATCTCACTACTTGTTCATCTTTCTTTATTACTATTTGACCCATATAATGTTAACTTATCCAGTTGTTTGCAGTGTTGTTGTAGCCATATTGGTTCCAGGATATTAGAAAGACAAGGTGGGTGAGGTAATATCTTTTATTGGACCAACTTCTGTTGGTGAGAGAGACAAGCTTTCAAGCTTACACAGAGCTCTTCAGAAGAAAAAGAACAGAATTTGGTCCAATAAAAGATATTACCTTACCCATCTTGTCTCTCTATCTTACCAGTGAGTATCAACTTCTGCAAGTAAGATTATGAATAACTTTTGTAGACTGTAGAGCTTAGACACCTCCACCCGCAGGCGCCACCCCCGCAGCTCCCATTGGCCGAGGTTCCCGGCCAATGGGAGCAGTGGGGGTAGCGTGCAGAGCCGCCTAGCCACGCTGCCACCTAGCCACGCCTCCGCCTAGGAGCAGCAGGGACAGGTTGCCGCTTGCAGGGAGCTGCCCAAGGTGAACACTCCCCGGATCTCCCACACCCCAACCCCCTGCCCCGAGCCCCCTCCCGCACCCAAACTCCCTCCCAGAGCCCACGCCCTGGACGCTCTCCCATGCCCCAGCCCTGCACTCCCTCCCGCACCCAAACTCCCTCTCTCTTAGTTAACCTGCATTCTTCACTTACCAGCACGCCCCCCCATTCCCCCCAACATGCATACAGTTTTTACTGTAACTTTTTTGAGATGGGGCGATCACATCTGCACACAGTATTCAAGACATGGATGTACCATGGATTTATATAGAGGCAAAATGATATTTTCTGTCTTATTATCTATCTCTTTCCTAATGATTCCCAACATTCTGTTCACTTTTTTGACTGCCGCTGCACACTGAGTGGATGTTTTTAGAAAACTATCCACAATGACACCAAGATCTCTTTCTTGAGTGGTAACAGCTAATTTAGACCTCATCATTTTATATGTATAATTGGGATTATGTTTTCCAATGTGCATTACTTTGCATTTATCAACATTGAATTTCATCTGCCATTTTGTTGCTTAATTACCCAGTTTTGTGAGGTCCCTTTGTAACTCTTTGCAGTCTGCTTTGGACTTAACTATCTTAAATAGTTTTGTATCATCTGCAAATGTTGCCACCTCACTGTTTACCCCTTTTCCCAGCTAGAAAGTGATGAACTTCTAACCGTAGTTCTAATTAAAGATAATGGACCAAATTCTGCTCTCTGTTACACTGCTGTAACTAAGATTAGAATCTGGTCCAATGTGTTATTGCAAGACTGAACTGCTGGAAGACATCTCCAAAAATTGCAGTGTGAAAATACAGAGAACTGACTGAGGTGGTTACAAAAGTTAATCCTAGGGAAACCTTTAGAACCCCTCAGATTCCCATTCTAGTTGTGATTTATGAGGAGTGGGAGCAGGATTTCCTTCTCCAATACAGATTATCAAAGCTTTACGCATTCCTCTGACACATATGGCCATCCAAGCTACTCAAAATGCTGGCACAGATTTACAACATATCGCTGCACCTTAACATTAACCTTTCTATAAGCAGATGATAAGGACCACATAATAACTGCAGTATAGCAACAGGAAAAGATTATACATGATGAAGTGTGTATCCATATCCTCTCTAGTGTTACCCAAGCCACATAGCTGATTGTCAAAAAGCCATTATCTCTAAAAGCACTTTTTCTTTTAAATGGGTATATATACTGCACTTTCATTTCCTGCCAAATTACATATGATCTTAAAAACTCGAAAAGCTATTGTCTACAAATCTGAGAAGGCTAAACATTTTTTCATATCCCAGATGAATGCTGCAGGCAGAAAAGATGAACAGGATGATAATGTAGCAAGTACGTCTGAATCTGTTGATGGACAAAGAATTGTATTGTATCAAAGTTTTATCATCACCTTATTTCCTTTGTGAGACCTGCTAATAGGTAACCTACATTAAGCATTATTGCAGCTTTTGAAACATGTGGCTGAAATTGAATCCCTGATATGGTATTTCTTTTTGCCTACCAGCTATGATAAGTAACCTAACTTAAACCACTTCTCCATTTTGATCCCACAAAAACAAAGAAACAAAAACCAGAACACTTTTTGTGGGGCTGGGAGGTAGACCTAAGCTGGGCTGGGGGGTTGGCTTGTCTTGTCTCTGGCACCTGGCCCTAGACTATCGTTTGGGGGGGCTGTGGGAGGCCCAGGACTAAGATTAGAGCCCTATTCACAGCCCAGAGCCCTTTTGGACCGAACCCTAACCCTAGCAGTGAGCTGCCTACTGACACAAACCTTAGCAATAGCCCAGGACTCCTTGCCAGCACAACTGTAACACAAGCCCAAGGGTGAATGCCGGCCCCAACCCTAACTCTAGCCTGGCAAGCACTGCTAGCCCCATCTTTAAACTGGGACCACCAGTAACTAACTGTAACTGTAGCTAGGGGACTTCTACCAGCCTGTGGCAGGGCAGACTTGCTCCAGCCTACTTTCTAGCCCACAAACGTCTCAGAGACCTTCTTCTGGTAAAACACCTCTTGCGGTTCATTTACAGCGTTCTTTTCTAGAACCTTTACAGACTGTGCTGCAACGTATCAACAGTCCCATGGAGCCCTCAGCTCCTGTGCCAAGGAGGAGAGAGATCTCTTGTGACTCATGCTACAAGGCAGCTGGCCTGGGGCTGGGGCTGCCCCTCCCCCATTCTCTTTCCCCTTCCATACTTCCTTCCTGCACCTTTTGGGCTAATGAGTTAATTAGTCTTTTAACTCTCTCCATCTCATCCCAACTTATCAACTGGGCACAATGCCCATAGTCAGGGTGCTGTGGGGCAACTAACTGGAGTTGCAGTGATCAGAGTGCTGGCTCAGCCACTGTTGCCCCTACACTCTGACACCCATCTCCCCCCATTACCTGACAATCAGATTTTTCTTTCCCTGTGCTTTCCCTTGCTTAGCAGAGGCGGCACACTGTGGGGGTTGCTCTTGGTCCCTAGGGTGATCATCAAGGTTGTTCTTGTGGTGTTCACCCATTTTCCATCCACAGAACCCATGCTTGGTGGGGGGAGGATGTCCCCACAGCTCCATTTCAGCCCACAAGTCATCACACAATGTGCATCCTGAGGGGTTGCTCTCCCTATTCTATCGCTTTATACCTGGCAGGGGATCGAGGGCACTCCCCTCATTCCCGATTAGTCAGGGCCTTGGGCTCTCCCAACCCTCCAAACTGTGCCTGAGCTGCTTCTCCTTGGGGTGCACCATGGGGTACTCCCTGGGCCCCTCAACCTCTACTAAGGAGCTCTGCTTGTCTTTCTCCACCATTCCTACTTCCTTAATTACTATCCCCTCCTGCTCAGTCTCTTGCAGGACTCTGTTTTCCTCCCCTTTCACCTGTGTTAGGCTCTGTTCCCTAGGGATTTATAAATTTGCTCCTGCTGGTTTGTTTTTTCCCTTGCTGTAGGGATCCATTTCCTCCCACTCAGATTTTCTGTTTCCCCAGCTGCGGCCCCCAACACCACCTTGTTTTCCTAATAGGAAGGGGCTCCAGTTGGAACCCAACACAACGGGGTGGGGCAATCTGTCCACTACCCCAGCTTGCTTCCACTTACCTCCCCCAGATTTCCCAGGGTACCTCTGCCAGAGGGCTGCACTTTTTATCTCCATGAATACACTCTCTTCTCACACTTGCCCCTGGAACCAGCCAGTAGGGTTGCACCAACTCCTGCCAGACTGGGGAGCAAGCAGAGGCCCTATCTATCAGGGGAACTGTGTCTACCAGTTGACATTTCCTTCTCACCATTACTGGAATGGTGGACAATTTTTCCTTTTTTCCTTCCTTCCAGTCCTGTCTCAGATGCAAAACTCAGAAAACCCATATTCCATGTTCGGGTAGTCCTTTTCTAAGTGACCCTGACACCTGCACAGGAAACATGTCATGGATCGAGCCTTGGCCAGAGCTCCTCTGCGATCTTCCTTCTTCCTCTCCACACTCCTGGCCGCTGTGGATTCCCCAAACTTCCTTCTGCGTTTTGATTCTTTATGGAGTTGGCCCTCTGTCCTGGGGAGTTCCGCCTCTGTGAACCCCTGTCAATTTTACCAACGCATCCAAAGTGCCAGATTGATGCCATCTAACCCACACCTGTATGTTCTTGGGGAGGCCCTGAGGGAACTGTTCCAACACCAGAGCATCCATTATCTTCCCCACTGTTTGGATGTCTGGCCTCAGCCAACAGGTGGCCCAATCCATCAACTTTTGGGCAAATGACTAGGGCTGCACGGCCTCATAATCCTTGCACCTTAGAATTTTGTGGCCATTTCTCGGTGGAGGCTGACTAGATCTAGGATGGCTGCCTTGACCCCCTCATAGTCTCTGGCCTGCTCATTATTCAGGGCAATATAAGCCGCTTGAGCTTCCCCAGCCAAACAGGTTTGGGGTTATCAGTGAGCCCCAGGCTAGGTTGACACTGGGGCTGGCAGGTGGCTCTGGGCTAAGGGTTATGCTGGAGGCTGGCAGATGGCCCTTGGGTAGGGTTAAGGATGGGGCTAGCAGGTGCCCTTGTGGTAAAGGTTGGGCTGGAAGAGCATGCTAGGCTTGGGTTACAGTTAGAGCTGCCCGAGGGTTCTGGATTAGGGCTAAGAGGGCTAGCAGAGGGCTCCAGGTTGGGGTTAGCTTTTGGACTTTGATTAGGGTTGGGGCCAGGCAAAGGCCTCCTGACTAAGGTTAGGGTTAGCAGAGGCTTCAGTACTAAGATTAGGGCTGTGGCCAACAGGCAATCCCAGGCTAGTGTTAAACTTTGGACCAGGAAGCAGCCCTGTGCTACAGATAGGGTTTGGGTTGGCAAGAAGTTCTAGGCTAAATTTGTGTGGCTATGGTTGGGGCTGTGGCTATGGTTGGGGCCAACAGGTGTCCTGCAACTCAGATTATGGTTCATACCAGGAGGGGGCCCCAGGTTGGGGCTAGGGTTAGGGTTGGGACTAGCAAGAGTTTCTGGGCTAAGATTTGGTTTCAGTGTGGCAGGTTGCCCAGTGCTGGTTTTAAGGTTGGGGCCAGCATATGGCCCGAGGCTAGGGTTAGCATTCAGGCCAGGAGAAGCTCTCATGACAGTGCTGCAAATAGGACTGGCAGAGGTTCTGGGCTAGGGTTAAGTTTGGAGTCAGGTGATTGACCAGGGCTAGGGTCATAGTTAGCACCTAACCCAAACCCAGGGCCTTTTGGCCTATGTCTACACTGCAGCGGGGAGAGGGCCTCCCAACCCAAGTAGACAGATTCACACTAGTGAGGCTCAAGCTAGTGCACTAAAAATAGCAGTGCAGACATTGCAGCTCGGGTGTCAGCTTGGGCTCTTAAGATCACCTACCCCCTAGGTCTCAGCTCAGGTGGCTAGTCCGAGTCTCCACTAGAACTTCAACATCCACACTGCTACTTTAGCACGCTAGCTCGAGGCCCAGTAGCGTAAGTCTGTCTACCCGAGCTGGTAGTCTCACTCCTAGCTGCAGTATAGACACTCTTGCTGGCCCCAATACCAATCCTAGCCGAGAACCCACTGCCCTTCCCAACCATACCAGTATCTCAGGGCTGCCTGCCAACCCCAGATCTATCCATAGCCCAAATGCCTCTGCTGGGCAAAATCCTAACCCTGGACTCAGGGCATCTGCCAGCCCCAACCCTAGCCCAGGGCTGTCTGCCCGCCTGAAGTCCTCCACTGATCTGAACCCTAACTTCTACCTGAAGGCCTCTCTTAATCTCAACCCGAACCCTAGCATGAGGCTGCCTGCCACCCCAAATCCTGACACTAGCCTAGGGCTATCTACCAGACCCAACTCTAACCTGGGGGCTGCACGGTGGCCTCAACCATAGCTCTAGCCTCTGTTGGCCACAGCCTCTGCAAATCCCAACTTTATCCTTAGCCTGTTGGCTTCTGCTGGCCCCGACCCTAACGCTAGTCCTGGAACCTCCAATCCCAACCCTAATCCTTCCCCAGGGTTGCCTGCTAGCTCCAACCCTCATCCTAAACTAAAGGCTTCTGCTGGCTCTGGCCCCAACCTCAACCCAGGGACACCAATCCAGCCAGCCCAAACCCTAACTTTCTGCCAGCCCCAACCTTAGCCCAGGGACCTCCCGCTGGCCCCAGCCCTAACCATAGCCCAGCAGAAGCCCCCATGCTAAAGTTAGAGTCAGGCCAAGAGGCTCAATTTCTTTTTTGAGTTTTTGTCTTTATGGTTAAAGACTTTATAGAAAATACTGTTTTCATTTGATTGTCAATGAGTTCTTATGTTAAGTGGTTTTCTAGAAATTTCATCAGCAGTATTTAAAAACAGGCAAGTGAAGGAAAGCAATGCCGGATTGCTTAAATTCATATTAAAATCAGTGAAACAGTCTTTGCGATGTAAAGTAATGTCTTTTAATTTAAGATGAAGGTATCGCCATCACTCTTATATAGCTGGTAGCACATGGAAACTCACTAATCCACTGAATAGTGAGTGATCACCTGGAGAAGATGGATTTCCAGGAGTTTAAAAATGATATTCTGACCTCTTCAGCTGTACTGGAAGTTTATAGGGCTGGGCTGGGCAGGAAGGTGAATTCTCTCAAAATCTTAATTCAAGTATATCTGGTTCTGTAATGGGGTCATCACCAGCTTTTCAGGAGCACCCCCCCTCAGTCGATGGTTTCTTCGGCGGGTCTTCAGTGACTTACTCAGCTCTCTGGTCAAGTCACACACACTGTCTGTAGGTGCAACAGAACAAAACCCTTCTGGGGCATACAGTCTTTACCTTCTCCTGGCCCTGGTATGGGGCCAGACCCCAGGGCTTCCGCCCTAGAGACACTGTCATCCTGCAGCCCTCCCCAGGCTCAGTCCTTACTCTGTCCCAGCAGTCAGCCAGGAGCTACTTCTTAGCTCTCTTGGTCCCTGCCCACACTGAGCTGTCCATAGTCCTGATGTTCTTTCAGCCATCCAGGAACACAGTCTTCTCTCTTCCAGATCCAGGCAGCAACTGATTGCCTCTGGCTCTGCAGCTCCTTTTTATATGGCCCTCCTGGCCCCTCCTGCAGCCCTTCGGATTGGCTGCTTCCCCTACAGCCACTCTAGGATGCTTGGAGGACTTCTCATCTGCTCCTCTCTGGGACGGAGTGTGGTAGGACCCCAAAGCCTCCAACAGGGGGCCTTTGGGCCTAGTCCACCCCATCACAGGTTCCCAGAAAAAAACCCAGACACTCAGTTTTATCTTAATTACAAGCCAGTGTCTTGCACTGATGTATATTTTTAAATATTTTCTAAAATAGAGGAGAAAATGTTACATTTCAGTAAGCACATTCAGCTCAGGAAGGTTTCATTAAAGGGGTGGCTTCAAGGGGCAATATAAAATGACTCTTTGTAACATCTGCCTAGGCAAAAAATGCATCTCCAGAAATAAAGGGTATCTGAACTACTTATCATAAATAAAGATTTCTATTTTGTAGCATTCTTTTGTTCCTGACTAATCCCACTCTATCAACAAGTAATCTCATGTATATTATTGGGGACTTTGTAATGTATTTGGGTACAAAATTATTTGGGGGAAAGAATGAAGTATTTTTCTATATTGTCTGAATGGAATGTCACTCATAGCATAGAATATTTATCATTCTGAAACAAATGGTCTCCATTAGCTACTTAATTTTTTTTTTGTGACGGACACATTAAGAGATAGCTGAAGTTCCTGTCTACTAAATGGAATGAAGCACTTAGACAAGAATCCGAATTCCCAATGTAGTTTGGGCATTTATTCACTTCCTCTATTTTTTCACCTCACATGTAAAAGTAAGAAAGGAGGAGGCTTTGGCTGAGTCCTCTAGCAGTGGACTGTGGAAGTTCATGCAGACAGGCATCCTTTAAGTTAATCAGAAGGAACATATCAGATGAGAGAAGGTAAGCAGTGTCTGTTTGCCCTAGAATTCTGGCTAGAATGAACATGGATTTAATCCACACTCAGAGCATTGGGAATGAATGTGAAGCACACTGGCTATCATTCGTGTATCATATCATCCAAGTGTGCTTCAGCTTCCAAGGCAGTAAAAATAGTGGGTTTGGCATTTGCTGTGACATGCCAGGCTGGACAAATAATATTTGCTAAGCATTACTGGAGATCAAAGAACCCTAATGCCAGGGATCTTGATGGTGAAAAAAATAGAAAATTGATTAGAATAAAAATGGACTATTATTCCATGATGGGCAACAATGGATTACGTTGAATTTATGAATTACTAATGTTTATTTTATGGGAATAATGACACAGACGTTCCCATGTGACCTTTTTTCTGGCACACCCTCTGGGCAGGAGTATATCTGACAAATATCTCTGTTCAATATGGCTCAAGCTCTACCCATAGAATTTCATTCACCACTCCAGTGGGAGCTGCATGTGAGCATCCGAGGGTAGATTTGAGCTCAATATTTGTTTTCCTCTCTTTGTGCTTCTTGTAAGCTGAACACAAAAATAGAGAGGGTTATTACCACAAGAGGCAAGGACCATCATCACAGTCCACAGTTTAAAAAGTGGCTGGAACCACCAATGTCACATTCTGAAAAACTGAGGATTACACTGCATAAATAACCGCACTTAATTTAAAAAATAAAACTGCAATATTTTATACAGGGCGGCTTTATGGCCTTCTTGACTGACCCACCCACTTTTCTTGCTGGAAGTCCTGGCTCCTGCTGAGTGTACTGGTGTGTCATCAAAAAAGAGAGAGGCAGCAGCAGCAGCCTGTTCTGTACAATGAGAAATGCTTGTGCCCTTGTAAAGAATCTGGCAACGTGGGGGCATCTAAGGTAGCCCATCCTTCTGGAGAGAGGAGCCCTGCTGGGGAGCTAACATGTTGAAGCCAGCCTGGTGTACTGAGCTTCCTGTCCTCCCACTGTTGCCTGCAGAGCCACCAGTCTGTGCCAGCTCCCCTCACAGTGACCATTTTATCTGGTGCTTGGAGGAGAGAAGCAAAAGTGGGACAGAGAGAAAATGAAACTGTGTATTTCCCCCTCCAGTGCCTCTCTGGGTGATTCATCGGCATGCACTTCAAACAGGGAGAGAGGGAAGAGAGGGCTGTTAATTTGTCTTTAGTAGATGTTGTTTATAGATACTAAAAAGATTCACCCCAGGAACTAATCAGATGAATAAAAAATGCTATTTGTTTAGTTGCTTTTCAGGGTAGGAAACATTTTAAATGTGGACTGCATGGTGTGTAAGGAGAGGCAATGAATGCAACCACAAGAACATGTTTGGCACAATTCATTTAGGCCTTTAAATATGAGACAGATGGCATTTTTATCATGAGAGAAAATGAAACAGGCAAGAAGTAACTTACTTAGGACAGAGTCTTCTGTTTTGAAAACAGTCCTCCTTTTTCCCAGTCTCATTGTTCCTCCCATATCTCCAGGATTGTGTTCAGGCATGTCAATGACCTTGCAAGAGAAAATATTGAAGTAGTGTTTCATGATTTCTTTATTTATTTGAGAAAAAGATTATATAGAAGTCCATGTGACATTAAAATATTAACTTTATTATATTTACAATATTTCATACACTCATACATATTATTAGGATGGAAGACCAATGAATTCCAAAGCATGTTTACCAAAGAATGCTGCTTCACAGTTGGCAATCACATGGTTGCCAAAAGCTTTGGTAGTGTAATCAGATTGCAATGATGGACATAAACCAAATATCCAGCCAGACCACCTTAAGGACCTAGATAAAGACTGATCCAGGTGGCACTCAATCTGCAAGGAGTCTACATCCTTCTGGGATTTCCCATGATGATGATGATGATATATGTAACCCACATTAGGATATCATCAATGAGAGCAAGACATTTTGGGGGCAAGAAAGGTGTCACAATATCACTTCAATTCTTCGATCTTACGTACCACACTTTAAATGTGTAATGCTTTGGAACCATAGTTTGATCACAGCTAGCTCACATGGTGCTGAACATGATTTGCCCTGGTCTACGCTGACCGGTCAGTCGTATGCATTGTCATTTAAGTTAACTCAACTCTTCCCAAACATGTTTGACTACAATAAGATTTTGAAATGTAGACATGCCCTTGATTTCAAAAATTACCTTTGGAATGTGAACTAGACAAACCCTGAGGTAGCCCTGACTTCCTGAGTCTGTAGGCATCCTGACACATTAGCTGCGAGGTGTGAACTGCCCTAGTCATATTAATGGGGTGGTGATTCTGAATCCTAAATAATATCAACTTTGTTAACAGTTTTACTACAGATAACAGAAAAACATTACGAAGAAGGAATATGAAGTTCTGCACAATCTACTGTGAGTGGCATCTCGTATAGCTATCATGAATGGGTGGAGCTTGGTTTGTGGGCAGAACTTGGGACGATATCATCACTTTCCCTGTTGCAGCACGACCCCTGAAAGAAGTACTTTAAGATAACTCTTAGCTTCCCATTAACATAATGAATTCTACTCTCTAATGCTGACTGTCACCTGAAGAACCAGAAGCAGCTGATACTGCATTTTGCCTACAGCAGGAACAGTATTCTGATGCTGCTGCACAAAACATACCATTATTTCTGGTAGCCTTTGTAACCTGAACACGCTATTCAATTGAATATCTTTTTTGCAATGAGTGAGATTAGTTGCAAGGAATGATACAGGGATTACAGTTAAAATTTTGCCATTTGCCTGGTTTTGCTGGTACTAGCCATTATATCTATGGGAAATCCCTATCACAGTGATAAAACCTCTCAAATTGGTAGAGACACAAATTTATGTATCCATATATGTAAAAACACACCAAGGAATGAGACTAGCCAAGAAGGGTTCAGAAAATAAAAAATAGTCACACAGAGTGGTAATCAGGAGCTGCATTTTATTAACTTTAGTTTGCCCTTCTGGAGCAATAAAAACATTCTATGAGAGCAATAATGCATTTCATAACGTGAAGCTATACAATTCAGTAGGGATGGTGGAAGGTGCTTGGGGCACTGTGCCAATGTAATTCAGATGTGCAATTATCTCTGCATAACCTCATATCTTTCAAATGTTATTTATGATCTATATTCTTGTTGTAAAGTACCATGAATAAAAGCTGTGATCAAATTGGTTTAAGATTACAAACCCGGTAATTACTTCCCAAACAACATGAATGTGGGGATTATGCAGCTTCTTCAGCCAAAGTATCACTACTCCAGTCCACATATTTTTAAATCAATTATACTTTTCTGAAGTATAATTACCATTTTACCATTAAAACTTACCATTTTATTTGCAATACACACTTGAAACACTGGGCACAGTTACATAATCAAAACATATAACATCAGAAACAGAATGTACAAAACACACAGGGTGAAATACTGACTGAAGTCAAAGGCAAAACTCCAATGGGGAGTTGCTTGCTTGCCTCTAGAACATAGGAAGGGTGGTATACTGGTTCTTGTAGATGACATGGGGTGGTGGTGATGAACAGTCATTCATTCTCACTAATGATTACTCCCAATAGGATTGTGTGGGTTCCATGTTTTTGCTATTTAATGTGTATTTCAGGTTACTGAAGAAGATCATGAGGGTCAAGGTTGTTAAAATTGGAAGCTCCTAAATCCATATTTAGTCACCTGCTTGAATTTCAAAAGTGCTGAGCACTCAAATAGCATTCTACAAAGTCAACTTTAGGCTCCTATTTTAAACATTAGGTCTGAGAGGTTTTCATCTGTTGTTACCTGTATGCTGATGATTATACTCATCTGTACTTTTTATTCCCCACTTCAAATCTAAACTTTATAATCTCTTTGCCTTCCCAGTACCTGGCCAAGTTAGGATCTTCCATGAACATTCATTCAAATATCCTGAAAGTAATGCTGGCAGGTAGATGGAAGCTTCTGGAGAAAATGAGAGAGATGGCAACTTCCTCCTTTGTTGAGACTACCGGTATGCCTGATTCTTGAATTCTGTGACTTTGCCACTCTAATCTGGGCCTCTCCGTATACTTATCCACCCCTTAGTCACCTCCACATGAGATTACAGAACTTGGGGCTGGTCCTGAAGAAGAATCAAAAGCATCAACTAGCCCATAACGTGGCTTCCTATTTACGAAATGGGGAACTTCAGTTGGAACATGTTACAATTTTGGTCTGGGATGTGAACTTCTATTTTTGCCTCCAGGTGGAAAGCAAAGTGCTGATGAGTATCTCTAAAGCGCTAAAAATAGCCACTCTATGAAACCACATCTTTTCCCATGCCCCACTACAGCAGTTATGGTTATGCAGAGACGAAATCAGAAAGGCTAAGGCAAAAAATGAGTTATATCTAGCAAAGGGCATAAAAGGCAATAAAAGGTTGTTCTATAAATACATTAGGAGCAACAGAAAGACAAAGGAAAGTGTAGGTCCTCTACTTAGGAGCTTATAATCAAGAAGGTTAACGTGGGGAAGGAGCTCAAGGGAAGGAGCTTATAATCAAGAAGGTTAACGTGTTTAATGCTTACTTTGCTACATTATTCACTAAAAAGGTTAATGTTGATCAGATACACAACACCATTAATATTAACAAAAGGGGGAGAAGGAACACAAGCCAAAATAGTGAAAGAACAGATTAAAGTATATTTAGATACGTCAACACGGCCTGATGTAATGCATCCTAGGGTACTTAAGGAACTAGCTGAAACAATCTCAGAACCCTTAGCAATTGTCTTTGACAACTCATGGAGGATGGGTGAGGTCCCAGAGGACTGGAGAAGGGCAAACATAGTATCTATCTTTAAAAGGGGGAACAAAGAGGACATAGGAATTACAGACCAATCAGCCTAACTTTGAACTGGAAAAATATGGGAACACAATTATTAAACAATCTATTTTTAAGCATCTAGAGGATAATAGGATTATAAGAAATAGCCAGCATGTATTTGTCATGAACAAGTCATGCCAAACCTCACCCTAATTTCCTTCTTTGACTGGGTTACTGGCCTACTGGATAGGAAGGAAGCAGTAGACATGATATATCTTTATTTTAGTAAGGCTTTTGATGCAGTCCCACATGACATTCTCATAAACCAACTAGGGAACTATGGTTTAGATGAAATTACTATAAGGTGGGTGTATAACTGGTTGAAAGACCATACTCAAAGAGTAGTTATCAATGGTTTGCTGTCAAACTGGCAGGGCATATCTAGTGGGGTGCCAAGAGGGGTCAGTCCTGGGACTGCTACTATTCAATGTTTTAATGACTTGGACAATAGAATGGTGAGTATGCTTATACAATTAGCAAAGAACACCAAGCTGGGAGGGGTTGCAAGCACTTTGGAGGGTAGGATGAGAATTCAGCAAGACCTAGACAAATTGGAGAATTGGTCTGAAGTCAACAAGATGAAATTCAATAGAGACAAGTACAAAGTACTTCACTTAGGAAGGAAAAATCAAATGCACAACTACAAAATGCGGAGTAACTGGCTTTGAAGTAGTATTGCTGAAAAGGAGCTATGGGTCATAGTGGATCACAAATGAAGGAGTCAACAATGTGATATAGATGCAAAAAAGGTTAATAACATTCTGGGGTGTATTAACAGGAGTGGCATAGTAAAACATGGGAGGTAATTGTCCCATTCTACTCAGCACTGATGAGGCCTCACATGGAGTATTGTGTCCAATTCTGAGTGCCAAACTTTAGGAAAGATGTGAACAAACTGGAGAGAGTCCAGAAGAGAACAACAAGAATGATAAAAGGTTTAGAAAACCTGACCGATGATGAAAGGTTAAAAAAAACCTGGGAATGGTTAGTTTTGAGAAAAGAAGACTGAGAGGGGACTTGATAGCAGTCTTCAAATATGTTGGGGGCTGTTACAAAGAGGACGATGATCACTTGTTTCACTTACGGCAGGACAAGAAGTAATGGCTTAATTTACAGCAAGGGAGATTTAGGTTAGCTATTAGGAAAATAAATTCTAACTATAAGGGCAGTTAAGCACTGGAATAGGCTTCCAAGGGAAGCTGTGGAATCCCCATGATTGGGGTTTTTTAAGAACAGGTTGGACAAACACCTGTCAGGGATGGTCTAAGTTTACTTGGTCCTGCCTCAGCACAGTGGGCAGGACTTGATGACTTCTTGAGGTTCCTTCCAGCCCCACGCTTCTGTTATTCTATCTCGAATGTTCTTTCTCACTGGTTCCGTAGTTAAATTTTCATGGTGGGCAGCAGCACATTGTTCGTAGATGGTCCAGTCCCTGGAACTCTCATCTACTTAAAATCTACCTAAGTCTGAGTTAGGTGACCTTTAAGAAAAAATATATGATGCAGCTATTTAATCTTGTTTCTAATTAGCAGGAGATTTTCTGTCAGAGGAGTGGTGGTCTAAAACGGGAAACAGTCTATTATGTGTGGTCACGTTATTTTTATTTTTGTACTTACTTAGTTGTTCTTTGATAGGCACATTATAAACGAATCC